ATATTTACAGGCCGCTCCAGTGTTTATCTGTCTTACACTCTTGACCAAACACAAAGTACAAAATTTAAAAAAAAGTAAGTTAAAAATCAAAATGTCTTTTCCAGTGAACATTAAACAAAAATCTCAGATAGAAAGTTAAGTCTTTTGTGTGATTTGGCGCGTAATCCAAAAAGTAGCTGTATTGTAACTGAAACAAACAATAAAAGAAGGTAAAATATTCCCTCCACACAAAACGTATATAAATTCCAAATGCACAAGTCAGTCCATGCAGGATTACATTGCTCCGCCCATCAAAATGTCACCTGCGTGAATATATTGCCTATTGTCATTTATTAGACTGACGATTCTGGGTTGGAAATTTGGGTTGGGTTGGACCACTGTTAATTCTATGAGTGGTTTCAGTCTCGGTAGAAACAGTCTCAGACACACAGAAAACATTCATAACATCACTGTCCTTGACAGATCTGTTGACAAATGGATTTGGACCAATAACACTTACTGAATTAGTAGGATGGGTCATGGTGTACTCAGATGCTAAACATACAGGCTCGATTAAGCCCTATCCGTCAGAGATTGGTTCAGGGCCTACATGCACCAAAACATCTGTGGTGTTCAAACTACAATTGTCAACTTGACAGCGATGTAATTCAAAATAATTCTGTTTCAAATTAACATGATAAATATCTAAATGAACAAAGGAAACACTGGTGAGTTCAGAATAAGCGTGGTTATTTGGTGGTTCAACTAACAAAGAGACAGATAATTCAGGTCCTGATCTGGGTATTAACCAAACCAACCTTGGTGAAGTGTTCCACGCATGTCCTATCAGCATGAGGCCACAGGACAGACCCCAGACACAATACAGAGATTATTTACCTTTGGGGAAAATGATTACTAGATTCACTGCTAAAATTAAGTTTCCTCAGTCCCAAAGCAATGAATATTTTCATATTTTTTGTTAGTTTGATTTTAAAAGAGAGAAACAGACTATCAACCAAAAGTCCAGAAAACACAAGGAAATTTGAGGAAATTTGACTCTAAATCCTTTAGGTTCAGAGGTTTCAACTTTCTCCACATTTTCTCTAGAACTTAGGTCTGGAGAGTGGCTAAGACACTTCATGACTTTAACCCTCTAGAGTCAACAGATGTGCCCATGGACCACATCCTAATTATCAGAAAAACAGCCCCAAAACACACACACACACACACACAAACACACACACACACAGCCATGCTTGAATGTGGGGATGGTAATCAGTATCAGTACCAGGCTTCAGTATCCCCACAGATGAGCTAGAGAAGATGGCTGGGAAAAGGGAGGGTCTTATTTTCTATGCTGAAACTGTTGCGCCCAATCTTTGCTTCTGACAAAAATTGGATAGTTGGCTGGATGGTGCTC